TTTATCCCAACTTTAGAAGTTTAGATTTTCTTAAATATACTAAATATATATAGTAAGATCTAAATACTTGCATAAATACTGGCTACCTAGCCCCGTACCGTATTCTTGTCTGGGTGTGGCCACACCATGCACATCTCGTGTGACCCCCCTGTTACCAGGGTACGTGTAATCCACACCTTTGTACGGCCACAGAATCTTGAGTGACCCACCCTTTCATACCAGGATAACAGGCAAGTTCAGTAAGAATCTGTGTTAAACCCTACAAAATTGCTACAATTGCACGAAATTCACAGAACTCTAGATTTAATTATAATTGATCAGAAGTCCGGCATATCGATATTTATCACGGATTCCGAAAACGAGGGGCCTACGGTTACAATCCGTTAATAGTAGAGAAAGACCGGTCCATAGTACTTCGTATATATTGTATCAGTCTAGATGAAATGAGCTCTACATTGATATATTCTTGAATAGCAGAGCAATGTAGCAGTGTTGATGCTATTTGCTCTGATCCTCCTCTCTATTTTTAAGAAGCAAATCTAGTGTAGACACTTTTTGTGTTTGTTCATTACAATCTATACAATAAAACCTGTCTAAATTAAACATAATGGGACTGGGGATTAGTGTTTAATTGAGGGAGGGTTTTACACAGGTTTTACTGTATGGTGCATGGGTTATCTTTTGTTCAATTTAGAGAGGGTTCTAAATTGAACAGGTCTAATTTAGACAGGTTCTATTGTACTGAAATATGAAATATGCTGAGACTTACTTAATACGAAGCACTACCGGTATTGCACATCCCTTTTCCTACATTTACACAAAATACTTTTTTATGTTCAAGCTAATCTGTTTGACAAATCAGGAATTCTGCTAACAAAAAGTGACACAACTTCTTAAGCAATACTTAAGATTCACAGCAGCAAAAAATCGACGTAAAATACGCGATGGCAATGAAAATTTGTAATTTTGAGGTGGCTGCACAGATAGACAGCTTTCACACTCACAGTCAGCGACTTTAAAAGCTCTGATGCAGTGAATGCTATCCGAGTTATTGCGTTTCCGATAAATTAAGCTTATTGAGTGAACCAAGCAGTCATTATGTTTTACAGTTGAAAGTGCATTTCAATTTTTTGCGTTGTAAATATTCTCTTGGGAGTAGCAAGAAATCTTGATATGTAGAATATTAATAAGTAGAAAAAATGCATATATAGACAGTAGCCTATCCAGCAAGCAATTTGCAGATCAGATATTGGTGGCAGCTCATTGACACATATAATGATGTTCCAACTCGTCGCTTTCTTGCTGTCCTCGCTCGGTCTGCTGATGCAAACACTTCATCATTGCCTGCATTAAACTTTACTAATGGCACTTTCCAGCTTGATCAACATCCAGCTCAGGAGGTTGCTCATATGAGAGGGACCATGTCGCGTATTTTTGAGAACGCAATCAAAACTGGCACGAAGAAAGAGGAGAGAATGCTTGGTTTTAACGAAAATGAGCATGGCATCTCGCATGGTTTATTACCAATGTGGGAAAACATGAAGGTGGGACCGTGGATAGGCCTCCCCGATCACGTGGAAACTAAGACGATGGGATTTATTGAAAGGGTGAAAAACGAAGGAATACCATATCTGCGTGACGGTAAATACAACGACGGAATCTTGCTTGATAGAACAGCGCTACCTCTATATGTGAAAATCTGTGAGCAAATTGGAGACGATAGCGATCCTTACGGTGTGAACGCCCTTGTGGAAAATGGACATATTAATGATGCTCAACTGGTAAAGCTTATCACGAGTGGATTAAAGCACGAAATTGAGGGATTTGATTTTATTCTACCAACCGTTCAACGCCTTCAATCTGGTCTTTTAGGGAGATGTCGGCTCAAAAAACTCAATCCTGTCGAAGTGGAATTATTATTGATGGGTGAAGATAAAGTGCTTGACGATGTGCATCTCGAGGTGTTCGTGCGATATTTTGTGCTGTACAATAAGGCAGCCATTGCTGGTATGATAGATACACCCTCGAGCCAGCTGCTTTTAAACCTTGACGAGGTGGAAGCATTTCTTGATTTATTGAACGACCCTGTTCTCAAAAAACTTAAGACCCCTTTAGTTCTCCAAGAATCAAAGCAAGATGAAGCTTTTGAAGTTGGCAAAAGACCAGCATTGATGGATCCTGCCATTCGTGCAGTAAAAATTCGAAAAGGTATTGTCAAGGTTGTGAAAAGTTATTGGGATGAAAATAAACATCCACTTAATGTGCAACAGCATCTCATGGAGTTGACCAAAGACGAGATGGACGATTTTACCATTGAAGTGCTGGGACAGTATGTTTTGCACTACAAAAGAACAGTCAACTCTTACATAAAGGAAAAAAAATTGCATTCGCTTGAGCATTTCGATTCAACGTTTACTGTATCTGACACTGCAGCATATACGTCCAAGTCGACATCCGGCAGAATAAATTTAAAAAGAAAGTGGGCGAACAAGGATTCAGCAAAAGAATATCAATATGGAAACCAAATTGTACCCAGCTTGCCCAATGCAAGGTCTGTAACTCAGGAAGAGTCGGGCGAGTATGGCAGGTACGGTAGTTTTGCTCGCTTTAAATCGCTTAAAGATGCAGAATCCACGATTGATTTATAGAATTTCACCAAGAGTCTTTCAAATGGAAAGTGTGTGACCGAGGATATCTTTTCTTAGCAAGTGTATCACCAACAGCGGTTTCATTTCAATTACGATAGAAATAAGCGCAGAAGGCAAAGTACTTTTGACATTCGTTTCGGCCAACGAAGTAATCTACAATTGCGATGACACAAGTAAGTTTCAGCTGTTACCTGTTCATAAATCTTTTGAAACGGTATCATTGAACAGTGACATCGATATCAACGTTAGCGGTGGAGAATTTTAAGGGCATGCATATAAAGCGTAGTACGACTTTGAATATTATCCTCGAGACTTGAGGGCTAAGCTGCAAAAGCACAACTTCATAAGTATGTAGCGAGTGATCATGGTAATATATGAATTGTTTGGTTAATACTTTATTTGTGTTAATATACGACCATATTAGGAAGAGCCTATTTGATTTTTTTGCAATTTGTTACTATGTGGTGTCGTAACCCTTGCTGACGTCATACATTTGTTATCCCTCAATTAAATTAAAGGCGCTGCTGGTGCTAAGGCGTCTTGCCTTTCAAGACTACAGCCAACCTTCCTTGTCAAGATATACACTTACAGAATAAATCGCGACATATTAATCGGATTGTTGTAAATCGTCGGGCTGATTACCTAAAAGTTGTGGCTATGGCATGATCATTTTAACAGCTGAATCTCAAGATTATTACAACACGTAGATTTTTACAATAGTATATTGTCCATATAGTTTCCACTAGTGCAGATGGTCAGATTCATGTTTTTTTTTTGCTCTCATATTTCTGGATGGAATATGGTATTCAGTGTAATTTTTAATATGATCAAAGTATTGACTAAACATGAGGTTTATAAAGTGCAAATGTCTTGCCGTTAGCATCAAAACTATCGAGCGTTAGTCAGATTGACTAGTATTGTTCAATATTACTAACACTCATGTGTGGATATGTCAGCTCTACAGCTGATTAGTAACGTCACCATATTGTAGCATAACACTTTCTTTGCGACTTTCCATATGAAAAGTACTACGAATCAGCCAATTATTTTTCATCCTAACGCAAAATATTGCCGCTTTTCAAATTTATTGCTATAGTATATATGTTGACTGCTTACAACGTCAGGTCATGCAATGACGTATGATGTGCATCTCCAGCTGCTTCTTTCTTCTCTCTCAGCCACAGAGACCTTTACATTTTGCCCACAATTGAACAACTTTCCTTTGCTACATTGTTTGACAACGATATTTCATAAGCTGGAGTTGTCAATTCTTTGTCAATTAGAGACGACAACATGATACAACTAATATCTCGAGTACATTGTTCTTCATTCTCAAACTTACTTGTCAAGACACAAGTTTCAACGCTTAAAGTCTTTTTTTCACTATGGTAAACCCTCCTTTTCTTAAAACTGCGGCGCTAGTATCAACGGTGTTTGCGACGATTAATGCCGAGCTCGAATTTGTCAAACTCACTCATCCAATGGGCTCATGTGTTGAGATTTTTAAATTTGGTGCACATGTTAAGTCGTTCCATCCTGCTATGGACCCAACGCTTGATATTCTCTTCATGTCAAAAGAGTCATTTCTAAACGGCAAAGACCCTGTTCGTGGCGGCATTCCCATCATATTTCCAAACTTTGGTAGCGCTAAGGGATTACCCAGTCACGGTTTTGCTCGCATCACTAATTGGACTCTTTCAAATCATGAGAACTCTAAGGATAAAAAGAAACCCAGTGTGGCTAATTTCACGATGGCTTCAAGTGAAGAAACCCTCAAGATATGGCCTTCAGACTTTGAGCTAACGTACGAGGTAAAATTATACCCAAACCAACTTACGACGGCTTTGCATGTACACAACAAGCACAAGGAGACCATTAAATTTCATGCATTGCTACACAATTATTTGTGGGTGGATGATGCTCGTAACAAGGGTGTACAAGTTCATGGTCTTAAGAACGTGGATTACTACGATAAGGTGGCTAAGGCTAACAAGACAGAGACCCGCGACTACATTGACTTTAAAAGTCAGACCGACAATGTCTACAGCAACGCTCCAGACAAGATCAGCGTGCTCATCAAGGGCATTAAATTTGAGGATCGTACAGTCACAATTGATAAAGCGGGTTCTATTAGTGTGGCCGGTAAGAGCAGCTCAAAAACTAAGACTGACGTTGTTGTGTGGAATCCATGGGCCGATCGTGCGAAAACCATGGAAGACTTTGGTGATGAAGAATACAAGAATATGGTTGCAGTTGAGCCAGGTCGCGTATCAGTACAGCAGGAACTGCCTGCTGGCCAGACGTACACGCTGAAGGAAACCATTTCGGTCATAAAGCTCTAAGTTTGATTGTGTTATGTTTTAAATTGGGTGTAGCTTCGTATTTCTTTCAGAGATGAGATTGAATACAGATGATATAATTGACAACTCGAAACTGGTCCTTCATTATCATGTAGAGGTGGATTGATAAGAAAAGTATCGTTAACTTCTTGTTAGAGATTCTTAACCAGAACTATCGTTTAGCTAGCAATTGCATCACGATTTAAAGTCATAACATCGGAACCTACCTATAACTTGACCTGATAGTACTCGTCTACTAGAACGTGTTTTGCACCGCCGTAATAATCAAGAAGAATAATGTTTTCGATCTTTAGAACATACGGCCAGAATCTGTGATTATTAGGCCAGTGCTTCATGTCCGGGTGTCTTTAACAAGTCCCACAAAACATCAAGTTCTTACTTAGATTCACATTAGAAACAATACAACGTACTTGGAAAACAACACTTTCTCGGCGTAATGGCGCTGATTAGCAGGCACTGGCTCAACTGTACCAAGTAATGTTATTTTCCAGCATGTCGGATCTTCCACGTCTAAAATGCATGCATTTTTTCCCTCTTGTGCCTTTGAAATTGACACTGATGCCGTCGAATTGACGCTTAAATCATCACCTGCATTATAAGAATAACAATTACTTGCAATGATTCCATAACAAACCATTAAAAAAATCTTTGCTTGCCAGTAGAATCCATCGGTGTAAGATAGAAGAACAGTTGACCTGTTGATGCTTCTTTCCAGTAACCCTCTCCGTCTACTCGTAAGTATCTCATTTAGATCAACATAGTTAAAAAATGTTTCTATTATATCCTCACCGCTGTAAGAGACTGTATGACCGAATGGAATTCCTTGAAATTCGACCGAAAAGGTCGACAAAGTTGCCCATACATTATTATGCACTAACATTCGCGCATGCTGCGCTGCGCTTGTTCCTCGGTAGCTTTTTTCGCAGTCGTAAATCAAAATCAAACTTCTACATTATTCACTTTGAAACACTTACAATACTTCCGTCTCCGTGAGCGTATTACCACGAAAAATTGCAGCATTTCGACGAGCAATGACATGGAAAGATGGATTGAAAGTAATTAAAGCGATTAAAAGCATGGTAAGACGCTCGCAGAAATTCTTCATCATGTAATTCTGGCGGAAAGTTCGATCTTTGACGATTTTGACGAAATTATGACCAATGACATATTCTATTTTCTGAAACTCATGAGATTATTTGTTTATAAGAAACTTACGCTCATTGTGCCTCGAGCGAACATGAATTAAATACTAATGATACAGCTGATTAAGCACCAGTGCATTATTTGTAGTTCGGACCAATCACTTTCTAGCGATCACAATACATGCAGCATGAGTTTCACAAAAGAAGTCACAGGATGATAGTTTGCGATAAGATCTGTGCAAAAGTATTTTTGAAATGATACCCAAAAGGTGAATTTCAGACTAGGAAGTCTGAAAGCAGAGACAAGCTTACATTCACCGATTAGCAAGGTATACAAAAAGTTGGAAAAAAAGAAGGCTGCAAACGATGAAATCTAACACACTGAAAGAGTAGTGTTTCTTTATTGTGGTATAACTTAGAGAGCTGCAGCAACTTGTGCAACAATGTCCCAACTGAATGTCCTCTGACTGCATGAGCTCCTGCACACCATTCGTCAAGCTTCAACAAAGCGATTGCAAAGCACTGGCTGTGATAGTGTTAAACTCACTCGATGTCCTTTTTAATCGGCCTAGAGCTAAGAAGTCGCCAGCAGACCCCTCAACATGGAATAACATAAACATAGTCTTGTCACACCCAAACTGCTTGCGATAAGATTGTATCAGCGAAAAACCGGCAAATGCTTACATAAATTTAAACCAGCTAACCGTTGTATCATCAAAAACTTCACTTTCAGGATTACGCTTGATTATTTTACTAGAACAAAGTGAGACGAGTCGTCCTAGAATTATGCGCAAAACTAAATAACATTCCGTCCGGTGGTAAAAACTTAAGGCCACTCACGGCGATCACTTGCCTATAGAAAGTGACATACCAAGTTTCGAATTACCACCTCGGCCTTCTTCAAGCGCTGCATAGCTTTGCGATTCTCCGAGGCTTAAAGTCCGCCTATTCGCGCTCACCTATGTGCAAGTCTCGTATGCTGTGCCCGTTCTTCAATAGAGAAAGTATATTCCATGTTCGTTACGAGGCATTCGATGAGGTTGGCTCTATTGCAATGAGTCAAGCCGGAATCAACTTGCCAGCAAGAACATTGTCACGATGAATGATTTTTGCTGCGTTTTTTCTCGGTAACTGGTATGTGCAATAGTGTACACGTTAAAGCGAAACTAATGCCCTACGTAAATGTCGCTTGATGGTTGACTTTGCAAAGTACGAAGCGCGACATCGACGTCAAGACGAGAATTGCCTTCTCGTCTGGATCCGTGCTGTCGACAGCTCTGTTCAAATTCAGGAGCCAGCTGGCACAGTTTTTGATCATGTGTCGAATTTGGAGCCAGTGCGCCTGAGAGATTGCTCCTGCTAGAACTGGGTGCACAGCGAAACTCTTCTCAAGAGAATACACGCCACCACAAGTGAGAGATTCTCAAAAGTTTAGAGACGGCTGCTTGACTTGGTGAGCAAGAAAAGATGTGCAACGAGTAGTGTGTCGGCATGTTTACGTGGGGTGCAACTATATCTGGTGAAGCGGAGAAAAATTATTTCCTTGAAGTCGTGGTAGTTAATGCTCCACTTCGGCGGATTTGCGTCCACGTCGTTGACAGTTACGACTTAGAGCGTATGCTTTCTTCACCAATTTGGGGAAGACGGAGCTTCCTACAATGAATAGTGGACACAGGATGTGTTTGCATTATCTTCATGACAGTTCTGACAGTATAGCCCAATTCATTTTTGGCTGCGACCGTAAGCAGTTTTATGTAGCAAGATAGCAACTTCGTCATTTAAATTCTCCCCACCTACGAGAAGCGCATCTGTGATCCGCCTGCGTTCGGCTTCTACATGTTGCTGATGCAAATCCTAAGTATCAGCGTCGAATAATTGGTACATGACGGTCAATCAGATCGCTGATTTTGCTATGGAGTGTAGCCGGGCTGATTCAATTGATATAACTGTATTCGGACCAAGCTCTTGTGAGAGGCGATCACTGTACTGAAGCATCATACTTTCACTTTTCAGTTTCCATTGTAAAGCACCATGATAGCTGCTGCATGCTTGAACCAACTCTGTATGAAATAAGGCTTGCTAATCCTCGTGCCCACGATATTTTACTAGAGGTAGTTTTGGTCTCATGTGCTCTACTACCGCACAAGTTTCGCGTTCCACATCACAATAAATTTGCGTCATAGTTTGCTGTGTACTCGACTAACCTGGTGCAACGCTCGTTAAATAAATTTCGTCAGCATTTTGCTGTAATGGGTGTTATCAATATGAAAGATAGTCCAAGAAAAAAAAATTGATATAAGCGAGATGAGCCATCTTGCTCGAAAGGTCCATGACATCACAAAACGGAATAACTAGTACGGTCTTCGGAAAGGTCAAAAATAGAGACGAAAATCTGGACTGCAAATATCCAGCCAAATCTGGCACACTGGTCAATGGCCCCGACACACTTCACGTGTGCGCCTAATGTTACTTATCAACTTGAGCTTATTAGGCCACGAGTACAAAGAGCTCACAAAGACGTGTATTTTTTGCTACCAAGTTACTCCCTTTATTTAGGTATCGGCTTAATCACTCCGATTTCTTAAATATCGGTATCTCACCATGCGGTAGACCCACGCGCAGTCTCTCTATTGTGACTGCGTTGTAACGCAGCAAAACTTGATCTTAACGCGCAACCAACGTTCAAATTTATTGCAACAAAGTTTATAATTCTTCTACAAAGTGTTACCAATCAACAAGTCGAAACGGATTGACGACCCGTCCCTCTCTAAGATAGGACCTACTTTGAGGCGGCGACAAAGGAGCCCGGGGTCCTTACAAACCATGAATGAAAACCGTGTAGAACCTGTAAAGGCGTGTACTGCACTTACCAACACAAACGCAATGAGTTGGAGCAACTCGCTCTAGCTGTGCGGTCTCTCCGCGCAATTTGTTTAGATGATATCTAATTATTTTGCAAAATTATCTGTTGCGGATGACATGTGATGGTCTAAGCAGGTATTTTAAACTTGAACAGAATCTGCGAATGATTCGCTGTGGAGCACAAATTCCATACCACAAAATTACTAATGGCATCCCATATTGGCGAAAAACGCTGCATAAAACTAGCCTAGCTTAATTCGTATCATGGACAGCAGCAAGTTGAGCCGTCGTGCTCAAACACAATACAAAGACCTTAAAGCTGGTATAACAAAACGTTTATTTTGCAGGACCAAAAGGCCATACCAATGGACTGCTAGCACTCTTCTGGTACCGGCATACTAGCCAGGGCGCAGAAGCATGAGGAAATACGAAGCCCTTACGCAGCTCTAAGACTTGCGCACATGTGGCTCTATCCACTTATACATATATGGCCGCCAAGGCATGGCACTCACCGAGCAGTCAGGCGGCCACTCAAAGAGTTGTCATGTGCATAGCAAATTGTTCTGCTCTCAAGATATTCATCACGGGGCATAACTATCCGTTAAGTGCAAAGTGGCCCATTGGGGTGGTGAAGCAAGCTTTTATGATAAAGATTAGTGGATAAACGTACGCTATGATATTGCCGCCGTCCGAGTACTCGGGCTCATTCGAATAACTCTTAGATTTTTGTATCGCCTTATCGATTGGTGTCGTCACCATAGTCGAGACGGTGCGAAATCGCACCCGCCACCACATTCAGCCAATCCAGCATATATTTTTCCTAATGGGTATATCGTTCAGCAAATGGCAAGGACAGAAACGTCACAGACAACCTAACCAGGCTGATATCGACTCGGAAGGGCCTTATCAGGGGCGCCACAAGGATCTCCTTAATAGCTACGAAGGCCACCACTCCACGTCTCATGTGACAGCCTTTCAAGGCGATTGGTCAGGAGCCACGTCGTCTTAATGTACGATTTACGAGTGCAAGAAGTTGGTCAGGCCAATTCATTTTGTGATGCCTATCACAAACAGAACCCATACAATTATTATAATCTTTGATCGAGAACCGCGCGGATATAGACGTATACATCGTCAAAAAAGGTGCTAGTTAAGCGTCAATATTGCCTGAAAAGCAGTACCACCAAATTAAAGCTTGCTGGAGCTTTAGACAATTCTATTGGTATTTCCAGCTACACTCGGAAATCCGCGACACTTACGACTAGCCGTTTTAAAATCGTATTATTGGCCAAGAGTGAAGAGACTTGGTGGTTGAGTCAACAAAATTGTATGTTTGGTTATGAAAAAGGGGCTGGGCTGAGCATTTCTCTTGGATAGATCATTATTGAGAAACCTCGCGAAACAGTAAATGCAAGGAGTAATAAGGGATCTTTAAAGGTCCAATATATATTTGTTTGCTATGTTTTGATGGAATATCTTGACGTTATGACGACAGCTCCCATTTCACATGTTGCCCCAAGATCGTAGTGTGCAAAATGGGAATGAAATAGTTCTGGGAACTTAAGACTGCTTTATATGGCTTTTCCCTTACGAATAAAGCTGTGTGGTATCTTATAGTTTCTTTCAGGCAAAGCACAAAGTGTGTCCGGCGAAAATAAGTTGTACTTTCTTGCTCTTTTGTTCAAGAAAAAACTCTAAAGCTCTTAGGAGTTTTGTCGGATTTATTACTCGCCAAAGCTTCATTACCAGAAAAGCGATATGCGCAAAAACTTTTCTACTTTCAGTCGAGTCATAGCTCATGGCGTTCAAGACATATCAGCCCAGGTATTAAATCATTTCCTGAGTATAACTTCTGATCAAAACAACCATCCCTGAAATCAATGTCCCCGTCGCAAGACACACGGATATCGTAATCATCTTTGGCATCGTCAATGCCTTCGTGTACTGTCTACTGCAACCACAGATGCTCAAATAACGCAGGTGCATGACCTCAAAGGTTCAGAACTCACCATGGTATTACAAAGCCGGGATGATGTGAGAAGCAAGCTACCCTTTACTTCGACTCATTTCTCCTAATAAACTCACATTTTTCGCAGAGCAGAATAACGTCTTCCACTCATAAATTTGCTAAAATGCAAAAAATATCAGATGGGACGTGAGAGATAATAAAACTGAAACAAAGTCATGTGAATGCAAAATAAGGACAAACGTCCCGTGAATTCTTTTTGCGTGGGTCTGTTGGCTTCTCCTCCAAAACGCAATCACGAGTCTGGTTGCGCGTCCTGAAGTGGCCGATCCAAACTACGTCAGCTGGCACGTTGGCTTCAGCGGGGCTACTATACCTTAGCGCTTGAGGAAGCGTAATTTAGGTCCCGATCTTTCGTCCTATACTTAGAACAAGAACGAGTTAGCGGATCGCAATCCGCTTTCTGCAAGAGTAGTTATTGCCTTACCTAAGGCTAATTAGCTCTTCCGTCTTGAATCCAAAACTGATTTATTTATCTATTTTTATCCTACTTTAGATTTCCTAAATATGCTAAATATATATAGTAAAATCTAAATAAGTGCATTAATACTGGCTACCTAGCCCCGTGCCGAATTCCTGTTTGGGTGTGGTCACACCATGCACATCTCGTGTGACACACACCCCTGTTACCAGGG